GAATCCATGATTCCATATTGATAGGTAAACAAAGAAATACATATATACAAAGATGGGAAAACTTTTTTTTTTTAAGCTAGATTTTTTTTTTTTTTTTTAAGATTTTTATTTAGTTATTTGACAGAGAAAGACACAGTGAGAGAGGGAACACAAGCAGGGGGCGCAGCAGAGGGAGAAGCAGGCTTCCCGCTGAGCAGGGAGCCCAATGCGGGGCTCGATCCCAGGAGCCTGGGATCATGACCTGAGCCGAAGGCAGAAGCCCAACCACTGAGCCACCCAGGTGCCCCTAGAGATGGGAAAGCTCTTCCTCAAGAGTAGAATTCCAACTAATAGAAGCAGAATAATAGAAAATCATCATTTGGTAAACTCTAGGTAGTAATTTTTTTAAGCAACATTCATCAATGGCTGCTAAAATTAATATATGATGAGAAAGATATTTACAAAATTTCAAAGTACCTCTCCACAAGGTATCTATTAAGTATGAAAGGGGGAAAAACTGAAACCTTACAATAGAGAAAACTGGCAGACATCATCTTAACTAACTGATCAAGGTAAACATCACCGTATGCTTCCTGATAGGGTGCACTAAGGATGATACATCATTCTGTGGAATTCTTGCCAAAAATGCATAACCTAAAATAAATCATGAGGAATCATCACACAAACCTAAATCGAGGGAACATTCTACAAACCAAAGTCAGTATTCTTCAAAATTTATGAAAGGCAAAGCAAAAAATACTATTCCAAACTAAAGGAGACTAAGAATACATGACAACTAAATAAAAAGTGTGATCCTAGACTGGATCCTGGACCAGAAACATAACATTACTGAGACTACTGGCTAGCTGGGAAAGATTTACAGATTAAATAATATGGCACCAATGTTAATTTCTTGATTTTTATAATTGTATTGTGGTTACATAAAATGCTAACGTTTGGAAAGTTTGGGTAAAGGATATACAATAACTCCTTTTATTGTTTTTGCAATTGTTTTATAAGTCTAATATTATTTCAAAAAATAAGCTAAAAAGTATAAAAGCTTCATGAGTGAATAAACAGATAACTGTGGGTTTATGCTTGTCACATGTAAGCACTCAAAAGTTAGTTATTAATTAATATAATCAAGTTTACTAAGCCTTATTTAGTAAAGGTACTCATTTAGTAAATATTTTACAGAGTGCCTAGTATGTGCCCAACAAACAGAAAAGAAAGAAGGTAGGGCACCTGGGTGGCTCAGCTGGTTAAGCGACTGCCTTTGGGCTCAGGTCATGATCCTGGAGTCCCTGGATCAAGTCCCGCATCGGGCTCCCTGCTTGGCAGGGAGTCTGCTTCTCCCTCTGACCCTCCCAACCCTCCCCCCTCTCATGTGCTCTCTCTCTCAGTCTCTCTCAAATAAATAAAATCTTTTAAAAAATAAATAAATAAATAAAAATTAAAAAAAAGAAAGAAGGCAGCCAGTGAAGTAGGTACTCACTAGTAGATTCCTAGGCACAGCTGAGATTGGCTATTTCAAATACACTCATGTCCATCTACACTCTATCTCTCTTCTCTCTTTCAAACTGAATCATTCCAAGTTCTACTTTAATTCCTGCTCTCCACTTCGTGTGACACTGTTCCTAGTTATGTTATCAAAATGCATGTATTCTAAAAACATGGATCAAATTCCAGCCATGTGAAGTTGCCTATAATAGTCTCTGCAACTCTTCCAACTTCTTATTTTTAAAACTGGTATGCTGGGGCGCCTGGGTGGTTCAGTCGTTAAGCGCATCTGCCTTCAGCCCAGGTCTTGATCCCAGGACCCTGGGATCAAGCCCCGCATCAGGCTCCCTGCTGGGCAGGAAGCCTGCTTCTTCCTCTCCCACTCCCCCTGCTTGTGTTCCCTCTCTCGCTGTCTGTCAAATAAATAAGTAAAATCTTTAAAAAAATAAAAAATAAAATAAAACTGGTATGCCTTTAACCAACTTTATACAACTGTTGTGAGGATTTAAATGGGAACAAATAAAAGTAACTGGCACATAGTACATGTTCAAAAAAATGTTACTTTCCTATCCCTTAAAAATTGTGTTTTCTGGGGCACGTGGGTGGCTCAGTTGCTAAGCGTCTGCCTTCAGCTCAGGTTATGAGCCCAGGGTCCTGGGATCGAGTCCCACATCGGACTCCCTGCTCAGCAGGAAGCCTGCTTCTCCCTCTCCCACTCCCCCTGCTTGTGTTCCCTCTCTCGCTGTGTCTCTCTCTCTCTCTCGCTCTGTCAAATAAATAAATAAAATCTTAAAAAAAAAAAATTTATGCTTTCTAACCACTATAGAATCTTGAAGAGTAGACCAACAATTGTTTTACTAATCTCTAGGTGAAACAGAGACTACTTTGTATTTTTTACCTACATATTTTATAAAGTAAATATAAGCAAACAGTATGCATTTACTTTAACAGCTTCGGTATCTACTGAAAGTCCAAAATGAAAAAATATGCATAACCTCCATTTCTTTCCCAACCATCAGACCAATATTTCTAACAGCTTTTCCAAATACCTGGATATCTCATCATGCCACCACCCTCAAACTCAAGATTCCACTATCATGCTCTATGCTGCCACCTACTGGCTAGTACCATACTCTGCAGAGATTTCTTCCTTTTTTGGACTCTTTTAAGCCAGCCTTAAAAAGTACAAAATTCAACCCACTGGATATATTTACTTCCACATTCTAGTCCTTCTCAGATGAGATGCTCCAAGTGCCTTCAAAAAGTTTCAGTTCAATCACTTTAAGTCTAACACAACCAGAGAGACATACTTGACAATTTACATCTTCTAATAAGCTCTCTTTTTTCCTATTTTCCGCAATAGATGTTATGGCTGTCTCTGAAAAAAATAAATTCCAAAGATAGTGAAGTGTCTAATGGAAAATATCAGCTTTCCCAGAACTAGCTAAATTGTCAAATGGAAATATTCTTTCTAATTAGAAAAGCAAATAGAAATTGAGGAGCTAAAACAATAACAGCTGTTTTAAATGCTACATGGTTCCATGCCTTGCTATTTCTGTCTTCTAAAAATATTCATACAATATTTTACCCTCATATAGCAATGGAAAACTCAATCATACTACAAGAATATACTGTACTCAATTACTGAACACAGAAGGGCTTTCCTCCCAATCCTACCCTAAAAGAGGTAATTAATAGTTGCTCCTTCTATTCCACCAAAATGCCAATTAAATGACTTGCTCAATAGTCACAACATGCATGCATATGCATGCACACACACACAGTTTAAAATGAACAACTTCAACTTCACTGATACTTGCTTAATTTATGGTCTTTCTCAAACCACATTAAATTTCAAAACACTCTCCACATTAATTCAATGATAACAGACCATCCTCGATAGTCACAATAACAACTTTCATGCAGTAAGCAACAAAAGGAAGCCATAAAAGAATACTGAAAAGCTCTTAAATTGGCTTTCAGATTTTAAAGCAACTTGCCAACAATGGTAAATAATGGTACAGTGGTTACAAGGAGGGGTAACAAAGAATACACAACATGGTTCATAGCCTTCAGAGGTTGACAATGTAGTTAAGAACATAAGACACAAACATCGAGAAACAGGAACAAAATAAGGCAGACTATTAATTGAAAAATAATTGTTACAGATACTACAACAGTGTGAAGGGCTGAATACAACTGACACTGACAGGAGGGTGGAAGCTTAAGCTAAGAGTAAGGGCAGGGGAATTTCAAGCTATAAAGAACAATTGGTATGCAATGCTACAGTCTAAGTAGTAAAAGCATGTTGTTTACTACAAATGATTGCACTAGTTTAGCTGGAAAAAAAAAAAAAACTGTATAGAAGCAACATTAGAAAGAGGGCAGCATTAGAAAGAGAAGTGGACTGACCTGTGGAGAGTACTGAGGCACAGAACATTAGGCTAAAAATCCAGAATACAATGAAAAAGGTCGCTGGAAACTGAGTGTGTGTGCAATGACGTTTTCACACTATTTGAGGGGTGAGGGTTGGGGGGAAGGAGTTTAAACTTGTAGCAGTGTTTAAAAGACTGAAGTAAACTAAAAGAGACCAATCATGTTATTTCAGTAGTCCAGAAATAATGCTAACGGTATGAACTATGGTAATGACTGTGGAAAGAAAAAATGAAACTCCATATGAGGGAAGAATTTATAGAACCTGGCCAATGATCCTGTTAGAAGTGTATAAGGGGGAGGAAGGAATTAAAAATGTTTCCAAAGCTTTAAAACAGGGAACAGGGGCACCTGGGTGGCTCAGTCGGTTAAGCATCTGACTCCTGATATTAGCTCAGGTCTTGATCTCAGGGTCATGAGTTCAAGCCCTGCACTGGGATCCACGCTAGACGTGGAGCCTACTTAAAAAAAAATAAAATTAAACAAAACAGGGAACAGAAGTACCATAAAAAGAAACATAAGACAGGAAACCATTATTAATAAATATTTCCAACAATTAATGTTTCTAAACCAAAACTCCATTTATGTTTAACACAAAGCAATAAAAACAGAAACCCAAAAGTACAGCCAATTTCTACAACTGAATATAAACAGCATTCATGCTCAAATAGTATGAAGAAACATCTTATACTAAAGCATAAACCATAGTTTGTCATAAATCTTCATGAATTAGTAACTACTTGATCCAGATCCATGTTACTGCTTTTTGTACAAATGACTCCCATTGCTTGAATTATCATATATTTCATATTTAAAATACACCCAACAGTTTGAGATCTAGCTAATTATTCTGCCTAGTAACTGTATAAATAAAGGAATGCATGTTGGGATACAGATTTCTCAATAGGCTAATCAACACACAAGAAACAGTCTAAATAGCAAAACTGAGTTACTATCAAATCTTTTATAAATAAATATGGAATCATGCCTTCCTTTTCCTACAAATCCTCCAACAAAGTAATCAAATTTTGAAAAAATAACAACTATAAAATACCACGCTAGATAAGTTCCACAAGTTTTTTGGTTACCTTTACTTTATCTCTTCTCAAGCAACAGAATAGACAATTTTCATCAAAAGTCCAATCAGAAATGTTTTCAGGTTCACAGTCTGCAAAAATAGTTGGAATACTAAATTAACAGTCACGAAAAGGAATTTTTCAGGAAACAAATGAGATCAAAAATATTTATTTTAACAAAAACAAAACCCTAAGGGGTAGACAGATTTCTTATTTGTCTTAAAATTCTTAATAACTGCTCACTAGTTAATATACCTTATTAATACATATATTTGCATTATCAACTAAACACAAAAAGATGCTTACAGGGATACAGCTTTAACTCACATAAAATTGAATAAAAAGAAGGAGACGGAGGCTTAAATCACAAAAGTATCACATATGTCACCAGGAAGAATTTGAAATACCAAAAGAAAAAAAAAACTTGAATACCTTTAAATAAACTGAGATCTTTTAATAATGCAGGTCCAAACAGCCCTTCAAGAATACTTTCAAATCCTGAAAGGATGAAGAAAAATCCATATTACAATAATATTCCCTATGGTAATGTAATATCAATATGTTGCTGAAAAAACGATAGTGTATTCTTCCAGTCCTCAAGGATCCCTGGGTTATTACTGAAGGGATGCTGAGGAAAGAGTGTCAATGACAAATTTAAAAGAAGCATTTGCCTTTTTGTCCATCATCAACATTCAATACAAATTCAGAGCACATTCAAGAACAATACAAAACAGACAACACTAGAAATAACCAATGAAAGAATGGAAACTCACAGGTTCTCTTATCATTTTACAAAATCCCAAATACCTCCTTACATAAATGCCCAAATCCCATTTTTACAAAGGCACCTTTCCCAATAAAAGGTCAAATTGTTTCAAAATTTCCACAGCATTCTAGATTAACCTAAATAGCATGTTTCTGAATATCAACTGAGATCATAGGTTTCTCAAGCTAAGTTTTTTTTTTGTTTTGTTTTTTTAAAGATTTTATTTTTATTTTTGACAGAGAGAGAGTGTACAAGCAGGGGAAGCAGCAGGCAGAGGGAGAGGGAGAAGCAGGCTCCCCGCCCAGCAGGGAGCCCGACGCGGGGCTCGATCCCAGGACCCTGGGATCATGACCTGAGCTGAAGGCAGACGCTTAACTGTCTGAGCCCCCCAGCCACCCCTCAAGCTAAGTTTCTGAAGAAGGAAAATCCTCACCGAGAACACCATTATCACTAAAGAAAAAGGCCATAACATAATATTTCAAAAGAAGAACACCTTTGTAATTATTTCACATTGCCACAATAACTACTTGCTGGTTCTTTTATGAAGGTAGAACTCACTAATTATACACACAGAAAATTCAAATATACCTATACATAAATATTTAAAATGTTATCACCTTTTACCAGTATTAAAAAAATACTTTTCTGATTTATTACCTCAAATACTGCTGATCAACTCAATGAAAAACAATTTAAAAATCTTGGCCATCTTGCTGTTTCTTATGGTTCATTAAGAGAAAAAGGAGGGGAAAAGAAGAAAGGAATCAGATTGTACCTTTATATAACATAACAGAAATAATGGGTTAAGAGTAGTGGTTCCCCCGAGTGTGGCTCCCCAGGTTGCTCTGTCCACCGATTCATGATTTTCTGCCGTTTCTTGGCAAAAATGGCAACTAATGGTGCTGTTCTGAAGAGACTGGAACAGAAGGGTGCAGAAGCAGATCAAATTATTGACTATCTAAAGCAGCAAGTTGCTCTTCTTAAGGAGAAAGCAATTTTGCAGGCAACTTTGAGAGAAGAGAAGAAACTTCGAGTTGAAAATGCTAAATTAAAGAAAGAAATTGAAGAATTGAAACAAGAGCTAATTCAGGCAGAAATTCAAAATGGAGTGAAACAAATACCATTTCCATCTGGTACTCTGCTGCAAGCTAATTCCACAGTTTCTGAAAATGTGATACAGTCTAGACCAATAACAACTATAACTTCTGGTGCCAAAGAACAGATAGGAGGAGCAGAAGAAAAGAAGATGAAAGAGAAAATTGAAGTGAAAGGAGAGAAAAAGGAGAAAAAACAGCAGTCAGTAGCAGGAAGCGCTGACTCTAAGCCATTAGATGTTTCTCGTCTGGATCTTCGAGTTGGTTGTATCATCACTGCCAGAAAACACCCTGATGCAGATTCTTTTATATGTGGAAGAAGTAGATATTGGAGAAACAGCCCCAAGAACAGTTGTCAGTGGCCTGGTGAATCATGTTCCTCTTGAAGAGATGCAAAATCGGATGGTGATTTTACTTTGTAACCTGAAACCTGCAAAGATGAGGGGAGTAATATCTCAAGCAATGGTAATGTGTGCTAGTTCACCTGAGAAGGTTGAAATCTTGGCACCTCCTAATGGGTCTGTTCCTGGAGACAGAATTGTTTTTGATGCTTTTCCTGGAGAACCTGACAAGGAGCTGAATCCTAAGAAGAAGATTTGGGAGCAGATCCAGCCTGATCTCTTTACTAATGATGAGTGTGTAGCTACATACAAAGGAGCTCCCTTTCAGGTGAAAGGGAAAGGAGTGTGTAGGGCTCAAACTATGACCAACAGTGGAATAAAATAAAATACTTCATTTACTGAACTACATTGGAGAAAACTTTAATAACAATAAAAAGAAATATATTTGTCACTTGTACCTAAAAAAAAAAAAAGAGTAGTGGTTCCCAAACTATGGACCTCATTGGGAGCTCAAACAGTTACAATGGGTCCATGAATCCATACGTACTTAAAGCATGAGCTTCAGAAAGAATATATCTTGTGCATTCAGTGTACACAGTACCTTTCAAATGCATAAAAATGTTACTGTAATTAAGAAAATACAAAAAGTGTTACTGAATTTCTAGTATGTACAATGTATTTTGGGGCACTATGTATTTTGTCACACAGTCTACTATCACTTACAGGTTTATAATTAAAAAAAAAAAAGTTACAATGGAATATTACTCAGCCAGCAAAAAGAATGAAATCTTGCCATTTGCAAGGGCGTGGATGGAGCTACAGTATATTATTATACTAAGTGAAATCAGTCAGTCAAAGACAAGTACCATATGATCTCACTCCTATGTGGAATTTTTTTTTTTTTTTTAAGATTTTGTTTATTTTTATTTATTTGACAGAGAGAGAGAAACAGCATGAGAGGGGATAGGGTCAGAGGGAGAAGCAGGCTCCCCGCTGAGCCGGGAGCCAGATGCGGGACTCGATCCCGGGACTCCGGGATCATGACCTGAACCGAAGGCAGTCGCCTAACCAACTGAGCCACCCAGGCGCCCTCCTATGTGGAATTTAAGAAAGAAAACAGATGCACATATGGGAAGGAGGGAGGGAAACAGAGAGAGGGAAATAAACCGTTAGAAAATCTTAACGATAGAGAACAAACTGAGGATTGATGGAGGGATACAGGTGGGGGGATGGGATAGATGGGTGAAGGGTATTAAGGAGGGCACATTTTGTGATGAGCACTGGGTGTTGTATGTAAGTGATAAATCACTGAATTTTACTCCAGAAACCAATATCGGACTCTATGTTAACTGAGTAAAACTTAAATTAAAAAAAAAATTTAGGGATGCCTGGGTGGCTCAGTGGGTTAAGCGTCTGCCTTCGGCTCAGGACATGATCCCAGGGTCCTGGGATTGAGTCTCGCATTGGGCTCCTTGCTCAGCGTGGAGCCTGCTTCTCCCTTTGCCTGCCGCTCCCCGTTTGTGCCCGCTTGCTCTCTGACAAATAACTAAATAAAATCTTAAAAGAATAAAAAAATAAGAATAAAAAAATTAAGTACTCTTATGCTTAAAAGGGAGGGAGACCCAATAATTTAAAATACTATACCCAGGTGGATACATGAGGTCCACACACACAGTCAGCACTTCCTTACCACAAATACAATCACCATAAAGGGTCTGAAAGATAAAGCGGTAGAAAAGATGGTCCTTAGAAACAGTATTTTAGGGGCGCTTGGGTGGCTCAGGTCATGATCCCAGAGTCCTGGGATCAAGCCCCGCATCGGGCTCCCTGCTCAGCGGGAAGCCTGCTTCTCCCTCTCCCACTCCCACTGCTTGTGTTCCCTCTCTCGCTGTGTCTCTGTCAAATTAAATAAATAAAATCTTAAAAAAAAGAGAGAGAGACAGTATTTTATCTCATTAAATAATACAGGAATGCCTGGCAAGCTCAGTCAGTGGAGCATGAGACTCTTGATCTCAGGGTTGTAGGACTGAGGCCCATGCTGTGTAGAGATTACTTAGAAATAAGATCATAAAAAATAAAAAAGATTGAAATTTAAGAATAATAATGCAGTGTAAGGGATTTTTTTGTCCACAGTATTAAGGCATTTTTTCAATAGAGTAATCTCTAGAGTTTGCATTATCTACACTGTAGTTAAACAGCTGATTTTTCTACACTGTTTTCTAGATTCTAGATTTTTCATTTATTATGAAGGAGCAATTGTTTTTCAACTCTCTTTAATTTCTTCCCATCAAAATTATTCCAAGGACATTAATAAAATCAAGCTACCTATTCAAGCAAATTGGAGTTATCTGTGCCTGTTTATTATTTGCCTACTATAATTAGAACATTTTCCACTAATTTACTATGGCCTCTCTTCCCTACACTGGGGAAGAGAAAGGGTTCAACTGGGGTTTAGAGGTTAAGGAGATGGTGGTAAGAGAACGAAAAAGGAATTGCTAGATCCTAGCTATCTGGGGCCTACAAACTAGATATTCTCAACACTAGTTTTTTTTTCTCTTCCCTTAAACGAATCCCATAGCTTGTCTCCAACTCTAAAACCCTCCTATTTTACAAATATTAATGAAAGCATTTTATTATCTTGAAAGTACCAAGTATGCACTGCAATTAGCTAAAGGAGATTACAGGTGGCTCTTGTCCCAAAGAGCGTTATCTAATATGCTTTCACTTGGGTTTGTATGAAATTGTAACAAATTCCAAACTTGTATACTAAGTATAAATCCTTGAAAAGGAAAAATGTAAATACAGCAAGAAATAATACTCAGAACAAAAAAAAAAGCAAATAAAAGCTTTGAAAAAGAAAATTATAAACATTATAAAAGATAACAGAATCTGAAACAAGAAAATAAAAACTTCATCAATAACACACAGACACCAGCAAAAACTGAATCACATAGCAAAAAGCCATGAAAGGGAAAAGACCAAAAGGAATCAAACAAGAAAAAGACTGGTGCTTTAAGCATAATTAATTCTGATCAAAAAAGCAACTGTAAACAGGTCACCCCTATTTTGCTCATATCTGTAACATACGTTAAACCTCACAAATATTATCAATTAGAAACTGTAAAGCCATATTTTGCTACCCTCTATTAAATGAATTTAATGCTACTCAGTTTTATGAATATTAAATATTGAATTTAACAGTTGCAGAGCAACAAGAAATGGCTCATGTGCTATGCTTGACATTAACAAAAAGCAAATAAGGGAAGAACAAATGTATTCAAAATTTATACCATGATC